TCTAGTGATCCACCTGCCTCGGCCTCCCAAAGTGCTGGGATTACAGGCATGAACTACTGCACCTGTCTAGGAGTGGCATTTAGAATGATGCTTACCACAGTGGGTCTTTTAAGTGTTGTTGTTGTTGTTGTTTTTCTGCATTATAGCTTATAAAATAAAAACATGGACACTGGAGTCAAACTGCTTACATTCAAATTCTGGCTCCAATATTTACTAATAGTACAAACTTAGGGAAGTTGCTTAACCTCTCAGTTCCTCAATTTTCTTATCTAAAAAATGAGTAATAAATAACAGTATGAGTTTTATTGAGTCATTTAACACTTTAAATGACCTAATGTGCCAGAAAATGACTTCGCACATTGTAAGCACTATGTTGGTCTTTATTAATATTATTATTATTATTGATCTGATTATTACATATCTACTAATTTAGAGTTCAGATTACTACTCTCCTTGGAGCAAACCCATCACCTTATTTCTCTGGACCTTAGCTTCTCTGTAAATGTTAGTGTTATTTAACTGTCAAAAATATAATTTATATCTTAGTCTATTGGGCTATTATATAATATCATAAACTAAATGGCCTATAAACCAAGGCACTGGCAGATTTGATGTCTAGTGAGGGTCCTTTTCCTGGTTCATAGATAACACCTTCTAGATACGTCCTCACATAAAGGAAGGGGCAAGGAAGCTTTTATGAGGGCACTAATATAAATCAGGATCTCTCTTACAAAGACATGCATGAGTACTCCACCTTCAGAACCTAATCATCTCTCAAAGGCCCCACCTCCTGACATCATTACATTGGGGATCAGCTTTCAGCAGATGAATTTTGGGAGGATACAAATATTCAGGCCATAGCAATTTATAATGCAAAGGTACATTTTAAAGAAATTTAAGTGTCTCTAACTCAAAGGAAACACCAAAGGATTTGTTTACAAAAAAGAAAACTATGCTTAATTTATAGGGTTTTGTTTTTGTTTTTGTTTTTAAAGCAAAGGAAACATAGCAGGTTGAGCGGCTTACATTATAAACTTGAGAACAGGAGTATAGGACCGTTTTTGGCATCATACCTATTTTTTTTTTTTAATGGTCTTTAATTCCATGTTATGACTAAGAGAAAAAAGCGTGTGAAAAGATAGGGACAGGAAACTTAGGGAAGAACATAGAGGGTGAAAGGAGACTGCAGAAGGAAAGGTAGAAGGTATAATAGGAAAGGGGATAGAGAAGAAAAGAAAGAAACAGAGGCAAGAGGAGAGGAAAAACTACTTAGAGACAGAGAGGGAAGGTAAGGAGAAAGGGGAAAACGGTGGCATAATTTATTGAGCACCAATTATGTGCCTGCCATCGCTAAGGAGCTCGGTTATCCCACCTCAGAACATCTCAGTGAAGTAGGTATTATTGTCACCACTTTACAAATGAGAAAACAGCTATTAAGTGAGTTTAACTTGTCCAAGGTCAATTGTGTTATATACAGAAGTTAGAACCCACATCTTTCCAGAGCTAATTACAATGTCCTTCTTCCATGTCCTTAAGGACTAATGGTGAGATAAAACATACTCTTCACGGCTTGTTGGTCCAGCCTCAGTGTTCCTGTCACACTGAGAAAAGAATTAGTCAGGCTTAGTTCAGGCTTTGGTGTTACTGTCTCTTAGCACTACCTAAGAATCTTAATTATTTGAGTCAGGACATTCAGATTTTAGTTAAATAGGATGCCCAAATGATTTATGCCTCAGCATAAGTCACTTGTCTGAGCTGCAGAATCACCCTCTATAAAATGTATGCCTTGGACTAGACCACCTGCCAAATACTGAAAATCTATACTTATTAGCTGTCTGCACATAGGCAAAGGCTGTAATGTGGATTGGAAAGAAGGTGAATTTTGTTGGTCTAGTTAGAAGCACTGTACAAAATCGTGCAGGTTGTTTGCTGTACAACCTTAGTAGGCAATATTCATACACATAGTCATAGGTCATGGCCCTGGCTCCAGGAAGCCAAAATAAGGACCAATGGATAGAGGCCAAAAAAAAAAAAAAAGGGAAATTGTGGATCAATAGAAAAATAACAAACTCTGTTATATTGAGAATTACCTCTTAACATTGTGAAAACTTTACCTTTGGGAGTTTTTAGGCAGAGACCACATGATGTAGGAATTCTACTAACACATGAGAGTTTAGAGAGTACCTAAGTGCCATTCAGAACTGGATTTTTAATGTGATCAAAGCTAGCTGGGTGATCTTAAAATCAATAAGCCTTAATTTTCTGAGTCCTTATTATAGCCACAATAATAGTACCTACCTATATGGCTACTGAAGTAGGAGATTGTGTGTGTGTGTGTCTGTGTGTGTATCTACATCTGACATCTCTGTATCTATCTTAGCACAATGTCCCGCACATGACAAAATCTCAAGAAATGTCAGCTTTCATTATCGTTATTCTCTTTACAACTACGAAAGAATGAAGTTTCTAGCACAGCAGAACTTTGCTTTACCTCTGTAGGCATGGGGCTGCCACCAAGTTTGCAGGCAAAGAATGCTGGCACTCTCAGAGATATCACTTTTCCTTCTTAATTGTAGAGCAAACATATAACATAAAATCTGTTTCACGCTTAGAGCCAGAATTTGGTTAAAGGGTGGAGGTTCTCCCCTTCTTGTAGTTAAACAGAGTGGTTAAAAATTATGATTATGACCCGCCGTAATCATAATTTAGAGTTAATTTCTAAATTATCCTCTAACAAGACTATTTCTAAACTTTAAAAATGGAGCTTCTTTAGGGTCCAGTGTTAGCAAACAGAATCCCCACCATGACTCATAGAATTACACAGCATCTTTTTCAAACCTTTCACTCTAGTGGGGATATGTCCTCATTCAGAACTTAATTTAGTTAATTCAGCTTAAAAATTCAATTGTCAAAAAGCTTATTTCCTGTGGGAGTATCTTTTTTGTTGATAAAAGATGCACATGTACCTGAAAAAAAAAATGTGATTCTCTTCCTCAAGCTGTAAACATCCAGCTGTCAAAAGTAATCACTACATCAGAAAAACTGGGTAATGAATAAAAGTATTTTTGGTTGATTCATAAGAAAAACAGCAAAGTAGCTTATATGCTTAATGAAAAAACAGACTGAGGAACTGCTATGAAGCTTACATTTCTGCTCCATAAGTCACAGTCCTCAATGTGGCTCCATGCAAGCTAAAGTCATTCTTACCTACAGGACTTCACTTGTGTTATTTAATAAGACTCTGTCCTTGATTAAATTTGAGTCAGGCTTCTCTAGGTCCTACTCTCAGTTAGGCCTTGACCTTAGGCTTTTTATTTGGTCTCGTTTGCCCAGTTTTAGCAAGCATCCTGCTGAGTCAGTTTATCAAAAATTTCTCTCCCTTGGTATCTGATCAAATTCCTTATCCCATACCCTTGATAATTTATCAGCTTGGCCTGCCTTCAACAAGAATCCTGCCAAGTCCCTTTAGCCAGAATTCCCCTTACCCTTGATGTTTTCTCTCAGTAATTTTCCATGCACTAACTGCCACCTCCACTCCACAGCTCTTTGGCTATACATCTTCACTTGTGCTTTTTGTATTCAAAGTTAAGACCAATCTCCCTCCCCTACTGCAAAATCTCCATTGCAGTGATTCCTCTTGAATAAACTCTTCCTTACAGTCATTAACAAGTGTCATAAATATTTTGTATTTAACATATCCTTCCTATCTTACCTCCCACATTAATTTTCACTTCTTCCTCTTCTACACTTTTTATTTACTTATTCAAAAATTCATTTCTTCAACAAGAGTTTATTGAGCCACTTATATATATGTAACTGCTTGACCTGACGGGATTTACAACCTAGTAGGGATGCTAAAATGACATTAGGGCATGTTATTCTTCCTGAAAAATCTCTCCAAATTTTTCCAATCTATAGTGCCTTTTAGCTAAGGCTTTGATCTCATAGCATTTTATGTTATTTACCCCATGAGGGTAACTCTTATTTCCCACAATTAAGTTTCTTAAAGAAAGTAGCCCAGCTCAAGCAGCTACTATTCTCTATCACCGAGAAGTACCTGGCTACACTTCCTCCACCAACCTAAACTCACCATGTGTCTTTTTTTTTTTTTTTTGCTTTTTGAGACATGGTCTCACTCTGTCACCCAGCCAGGAGTGCAGTGATATGATCTCAGTTCACTGGGATTAAGTTCAAGCCATTCTCCCGCCTCAGCCTCCAGAGTAGCTGGGATTACAGGTACCCACCACCAGGCCCAGTGACTTTTTGTATTTTTAATAGAGATGGGGTTTTGTTATGCTGGCCAGGCTGGTCTCGAACTCCTGACCTCAAGTGATCCATCTGTCTTGGCCTCCCAAAGTACTGATATTATAGGCATGAGCCACTGAGTCAGGCCACTCTGTGCTCTTTATCCAAATCAAGCTGGTTTCCCTTTTTTTTTCTGAGGGACAACTGGTTCTGTTCTCTGTGTTCCCACTCAGATTTGTAGGGTTAGTGAAATCTTAATTATCATTCAAGACTCAGAGGAAAATCTTCCCAGGGAATGTTTTTTTTAGACTCAATTTTTCCCTCTCTAAATGCCTAGAGAAAGCCTTATAAACAGTTGCTGAATCTGAGAATACATACAATATCTATAACAGTGCTTTACTTGCTAATGCTACTTACAGTGTATCATTTTGGTAATTATATTATTTGCCCATTAGTTCATATTTATGTTCTTTCCAACTAGACTGAAGGCCTCATCCAAACAAAAGATGTATCTTCATCCCCTCCCCACAGTGCCTGGCCCAGTGTTCAGTGTGGTAGCCACCAACAAACACAAATCCAATACTATTGAAATTCAATCAGTAGCAAGAGATCTGCAAAGTCATTTCAGGAAGCTTGCCTTAAAAATCTTTCAAGTACAGAACTTTTGTAGAATTATTATTCTTCAAAGGTACAAACGTGTCTCATTAATGCAGCAGATTTACTTTCAAAATCATTCTAATGTTTCAGATCTTTACCTGAGTCTGCCATCTTCTGCTGCAGCACCTCCTGGTATAATCTTCGTAATAAATATGCCAGGGTCATCTCCAATGTGGGGATTATCTGTCCCCCCAGCAATACTGAATCCCAGGCCAGAATTCCCCTGTAGAAACAAAAAGCAGATATTAAATGATGTGTCTGTCACCTAAAACCTAGTTCCTTTTGCACTCTGCATTATCATGTTACTACTCAAATGGAAATCAGGTGGCAACAGTCTTGTATGCTAAACCATGAAGTGCATGGTTAGCAGTAAAAGGAAGGTCAGGAAGAACACTCAGGTTTATTCCTGCACTGTAAGAATGCAAGAGGCATTATATTTTTGCTTTTAAAAATTGCTTCCTTTATGCAGCAATTAAAATCACATTAATGAAGCAGGAAATAAAAACTTACAAATTGTGTAATATGAAAAAATATAAAGAATACAATACATTGTCAATTGTAAAAAGTATACATTCATATGAAAAAGGAAGAAAAAAGTTACATGAAAGAATTTGATTTAAGAGAAGAGTGAACTTGGCTGTTTCATTTTCTTATTTCTGGTATTGTTGTTCTAATATCACTTATCTGTCAAATAAATGTGTTTCTAAGTAACAGAAAACTTCCACTTCAGAAGACAAGGCCCTCTTCTAGAGTCATAATGCATGAGAGATATTTTTGAACAATAAACAGACTTTAATTTGCAATAACAATAGAAAAGACATGCAATAGTGTAGCAGCATGTAAATCTGAGTAGTTTGCATTCTAATAACGCCTTTACACTTACTCCTGTAGATTATAGTAACTGATATCCTGTGTGTGTGTGTGTATATATGTATATACATATATCTCTTTATCTCTTTCTAAAGATATATATATATGGATAGACATATATAAGGATATATATATCAGGATATATATGGATATATATCAGGATATATATGGATATATATAAATCTAAAGGATATATATATGTATATCTTTCTAAAATTTGTACATAAGGCATAATTAAAAGTCCCCCCAAATCCACAAACCATATTATTTATTTCTCATTTCTAAAGTCTCCTTTAATCCCCATCTCCTATCTCCAGAGCTACATATGTTTTCATAGTTGTGTTGTAATTTTTTCCAAATCACATTATATTTTAAGTCCTTTCTGTATAACTAGGCAGTCTTTATAATTTTTCATCTTAAATGGCTAGTCATGTTTCATCAAGGTCACATATCATTTATTTAACCAGTCCCTTATCACTGGATATTAAATTCCTCTACATATTCTTACAACAAATATAGCTTACTAAATCTATGATCACTTGATTAATTTCCACTCTGAGGTAAAAAGAGATGAGGACTACAAATTCGGTAGTTATTTCAGAGAGATTAATCAGGGCACTTGATTAGTCAGAAAGGTTCAATGTCAAGATAAGATCAGCTATAACTTGATAGCTATACCACTGCAAATGTCAAGGTAATGTTTAGCAATTTTTATTGACTGAATTAATAAAACTGAGTTCCAGAGGGTTGTTTTTGCAATTGTATATTTCTTATATATGTTGAAAGGGTGAAATGAATAATTCAGCTATGGCAACTAAAATCCCATGTCTTTATACTTCTGATGTCTTCTCTAATTCTGTTCGCTCTTTGAAAAAGTCTAGTGTTCACTGAACAGAGTTATTACTTATTAGTAGTCATATAATCATGAATTGGTTTAAAAGTTATGAAACACCACCTCTGTACCTGGCACTAGAGTAAGCCCTGGAGCTACAGGAGTAAATATGTCAGTTTACAAGGTACATGAAGGGGAAATGCAGAGTGTAGGAGTGGGTAAGAGAACCAAATACAGTGACTTGGTGACATAGAGAAGAACATTTTGACATGGGGGAAGAACTTGTGTAAAAGCCCTTAGGTGAGAAAGGGTATACCACACCAAGGAACAGACAATAAAGTTGGAACAAAGAAAGCAAGAAGAATTGGATAGATGTACCTTAATCATGAAATTTACAAGAGCAGAGTATACGAGAAATCATTTTGGATTTTAAATACTTATTGACACCAAATGACTGTGTTAGTATTGGTTGAGCATTTCCTATGCAACTGACTCTAAACTAAGACTGCAGACGTTAAGGCCAGATGGTTTCTGCCTTCACGGATATTCAAAGCATAGCAAAAAAAGCAGTGATACCGTGGCATCCAGTGATCAGTATATTTCACATACTGTATAACCTCAACTGCATTGTCAAGTATGTAGCCATGGAGATAGTGTTTAGGGTACTTAATGGGGCAGTTCTCTAAGATTCAGAGGTTTGGGAAAGAAAAAATGGGAGGATGAGTATTTTCAATGTAATTTGGGTCAAGCTCTAAGTACATCAACGAGAGTGTATTGGTCTCACTATAGTTAGTATCTCAGGGATAATAATTTCTTGATTAAGGAGAGTAGGGAAGGAGGCAAGCAGAGATTGGGTGATACCCAAACACTTTCTCCTGATACTGTCAATGTGTTTGGAGAGGGCACTCAAAACTTTGTCATGTGAGAAATATATTTGTGATCTAACTCTTAACCTTGTCAACTTTATTTCCAGCTTCACACTTTACCCCCCAGGAATATTGAAGTGAACTGCAGGTTCTTTACTGCACAGACCTCACTATAATTCATCTCTTGGCATTTATTTATGCTGTTTTCTCTATCAGAAACTTCATATCTCCTCCTTGACTAGTTCATTTCTTCTCATTTTTGAAGATGTGGCTCAGAAGGTGTCTGCTCAAGTTAATACTAAATTATCACCCAACCCTTCTTTAGATAGATCACATTTCTGTGTTTTTGTAGGTTTTTATGCTTACTTATGTTATACATTGTGTTAATTTTGTAGTTGTCTGTTTCTGAGTCTATCTTTCCTCTAAACTGGACTTGTAGAAGGCAGGAACTGCGTAGTATTCATCTTTGTTTTTTTGGAGCCTTGTCTAGCACATAGTATTGACAATAAATACTTGATGAAGGAATTAACAGAAAAACAAGCCTACTGAGAAAGTTCGTGCCCTAACGGGAAGACTCAAAAAGGACACAACAGAAATCTGCAATGTGTTAAGGAATATAATATGGAAGTAGAAGCCATTTGCTCTATGTCATCACAAAAATAAAAAAGCAGAAAGCTCAGGCATTCAAACTGCGGTACAGCTAAAGGCTGACTGATACAATAGAACTGTTCAGACTGGAGATGCACTACTCTGTAAGGGATAGAGAGTCCTTCACTCAAGAGGTATTTGGCTAGTCACTGGGCATGAGGGACCCAGGCATTTATTGAAAGGTTAAACTGTATGATTTTTAAAGAATTCTCTTGGGACTCTGGCTAGATATAGGAAATCTGCTTTTGCCAAAAGAGAAAAGGGGATGTTTTAGGGACATTTAGTGGGGGAAGTATATCACTGTCAAATTCTTGAAACTTTATGAATCAATATATCTTTGAAATAATAACTTTGGCAGCAACCTAGAAACATTTAACCACTGTTTTTCTGTTGAATTGACTACAATATGGAGAAAACTGTGGCTCTGGCTTTTTCTAATATACATTCCCCTGTCCCCAGACCCACTCTGAGGAAAATAATGAATATATTTAGGAAATTCACAATGGAAACTAGGTAGGTAGAGACGGAATGTAACTTGCACTATGGTTCTCATCCCAAAGCATCCCTGAAAGCTTTTGTGTTTCAATTAAAACTAGTCTATCGGCTGGGTCTGGCCAGTCATCATAGTTCTTTACAAGAGATTCATCTTAATTCAGCTAAGGAAATGATTTAAAGAGCTTTCACCTCCCTTTATTGTTCTCTTCCAGCCTTCCCTTTTAAGTCTTTGCTACCAGCCAGCAGCATTTAGCAGAGAGAGGGACAGATGCAAAACTGTCAGTGAAATTGCGGCCTGCTGCTCTCTATGGCTGAATTACTTCAATCCCCTGACAATTGTCCCAGAGCCTGCCAGCTGCAGGGACAGATCTCAGCTCCTCTCTTCTCTGAGCAGCAATCTCTCCATGTGAACAGGCAGACCCCTGGTTGACACTCTTAGATGCTGAAAATTGTGACTAATTAACCGAGTGTTGATCTCTGATGCAGTCAATGGAAACTTCGAGATGCCATACTGGTAAGGGCAGACCCTGTAAAGGGTTCTGGGTAGGCTGCTGTGTCCTTGCAGTTGGGCAGATTCCATGACAGATGAATGTCACTGACATGGACCATTCTTTCTTCTAATTTGCTGACTCTTCCTCACGAGCACAAACCCATTTTCTAGCCAAATGACACTTCTTGTTTCATGTACTGCACACCGTCTCCTCTCAGAGAATCCACAAAATGGAAAGACATTTTACAAATATGATAAATACAATGTCTCTAGGAAAGTCCCACTTTTATTAAAAGTTTATTTCCCAAATGAAAATTACTCTCAAAATGAGGTTATATATAATAAAAAAGAGGAAAATAAGTAGTAATATTATAATCACATTCATTTATATATAATGTTTTACCGACAAGGAATTTTTTTGATTTTTAGAATTTTTCTACTTTAAAATACTGTTTGACCTGATCATTCGAATCTAGGATTTTATCTTAAAGAAATAATCAGAGAAACATGAAAAGATTTGTGTTCAAGGCTTGCTGCATTATTTTTCTAATGTTAAAAAAACACAACTGAAAACTGACTTCCATATAATGGAGAAATGGTTAAAATATTGTGGTACATTTATCTGAATGTGGGGATAGTTTGGAGTCATTACAATTGTAGTGCTTTTGAATAATAAAGACATGGAATTAGCCCAGGTGCCCATCAATGGTGGACTAAAAGAAAATGTGGTACATTTATACCATGGAATACTACACAGCCATAAAAAAGAATAAAATCATATCCTTTGCAGCAATATGGATGCAGCTGGAGGCCATTATCCTAAGTAATGCAGAAACAGAAAACCAAACACTGCATATTCTCACTTATAAATGGGAGCTAAACATCGGGTACACATGAACATAAAGATGGGGACAATAGATCCTGAGAAATACAAGAGGGAAAAAGGAGGGAAGGGGAAAAAGGTTAAAAAACTACCTATCTGGTACTATGCTCAGTTTTTAGGTGATAGGTTCAATTGTACT